TTTTTAAGGAGGTAGATTAGTTTATTTTTCTATTTATTTTCTGATTTTTTAGATATTATCATTATTATTGTTGTAATTAAATATTTTATTTGTTATTTTAGCTCAAAAATTATGCAAACTTTCATAATAAAGTAGCTATAATTCATATTTATGGATTAACACAAGATCCAATTACAAAAGAATATATATTTGTAATGGCATATATGGAAGATGGAAGTCTTCAAAATTATTTAAAAAAAGATTTTAAAAATTTAAAATGGGAAAACAAAATTAATATTCTTTATAAAATTATTAAAGGTTTAAAAAATATTCATGAAAAAAAAATCATTCATCATGACCTTCATAGTGGTAATATCCTTCAAAAAAACAAATTGGAATCATATATCGCAGATTTAGGATTATCATGCACATCTAGTCAAACATCATCATCAAAAAAAAATGACATATGTGGAGTACTACCATATATTGCACCAGAAGTTTTAAATAAGAAACCATATACAATGGCATCAGATGTATATAGTTTTGGAGTTCTGATGTCTGTAATATCAACTGGCCAACAACCATTTATTAATTTGGCACATGATGAATATCTTGCAATGGAAATATGTAGAGGTGTAAGACCTGGATTCTCAAACAATACTCCAAAATTCTATATTGAACTAGCATTCAGATGCATGGATGCTAATCCAGATAAACGCCTAACTGCTGGAAAAATTTATGAGATTATTAACATTTGGAATAATTCACTACTGGGTAATGAAGATGAATCAATTAGAAAAGAGTTTAAGAAAATGGATGAAATAAAATTTGATCCTTCAACAATTACTGCAGTAATTCATCCAAATGCAGTTTATACTAGCAGATTATTAAATTTTACAAACCTTCCCCAACCTGTAAATTCCAATAAAGTAACAATTATTGGTAATAATAATGGTAATTATAAATAATATTCAATCATTGACTATTTTCATTTTTATTAAACAATATTTATTAATATCCACTATTGTGATAAATATTTTGTAGATTCTAAACAAATTGATTTAGCTATACCAGATGGATTGCTTGAATAAGTTAAATCCTGTCATGTACTATGTATTAAATTATTTATTTATTTTTATTTATCTGGCTACTATAGTTTAAATGTCTTGAGTAATGATATTATATAGGATTTTTTTTTTTCATTTTGAAATTCAGATGTCAAATATGCACACTAAATAAAAAATAATAATTTTTGACAAAAAAATAAATGTAATTTTTAATAATCATTGTTATCATACATACATAATTGCAGCATGATGGAAGTTTGATTTCATTGGCTAAATTTGTGATGATCCCCCTTCAAGATATCACATAAAAATTAATTTTTATTGGCTTGAAGATCATTGCACAATTTGAAATTTCGTGGATTCGGGTTGACCTCGGGCGAATACTAAAATTATATTTTCAGGCGAAAACCAAAATTATTGTTAAAAATTCCACATTTAATAAAAAATTCTATAAAAGAGAAAGAAATTCTGTAAAATTTCAAAAATTTAAATTATAAAATAAATTTAAATCAAATAAAAATTCTAAATAATAACAATGCCTAAAAATGCTCAAAATAAAGGTCCTTGCACAATAATTGATTGTCAGAGTATTATTGATACTAATAGATTTAGAACAATTACTGATACTGCATTGGAAAAGTTGCAAGAACATCCAGATTATACAAATTTTAATTATTTAAAGCTTAATGATCAACTTTGCCATCCTCATTATATGAAATATGTTGAATCAACAAAATGTAGAAGATTAAACTTAAAAGATTCTAATAAAGATAGCATTGAAAAAAAAAGCAAATGATAATTTTTTTGTAGAAGATATTAAAATTAATATCAAAATTACTGAAAATGGTGTTCTCTTATCTGAGGAAGATTTTAAATTATTAGTTCAAAAAATTGATGATATGGAATTTACAATTGAAAAAAACCAAAATGAAATTGAACATCTACTTGAGTCAAGTGATGTTTATTTAACAGTTCAAAATAACTTAAGAAAAAGTAGGTTAAAAATTTTTTTAAATAAATTTTAATTTATGTATAAATACTCACAATTAAATTTTAATTATAGATGAATTGTCCTTTTCAAATAAAATTGAATTATTGACCAAAGTACTCTATGATAATCAATGTAAACACCATGCAGAAATTGAATTAGATCCAATAAAATTTTGTCAATTAATTGAAGAAAATGAACCAAAATTAAAAGGATTTTTGATGAAATGATAAATATCATTCCTGATAATCGTACCTTTTCAAATAAAGAATCTGCTAAAAAAGCAATAGTTGGATATTGTTACCTTTTAGCAGGTTTAAGAAATAAATTTGTAAATAATTTTAAGCTGGATCTTGGCCTTTATTTATCTGAAAATGGCACAAGTGCTGCTGCTATTGACACATTGTCAAATGCAGGTATGTCTGCATCATATAAAACTATTGATAATTATAAAAAAAAAATAAAAGCAAACCACCCTGAAGAAATTAGAAAATATTTCACCAATAATGTAAGTTAATTCAAGGTTCAAGTAATAATTATTGAATTAAATTAATTTTAATTTTTTTATTTTTAGTGTCAGTATATGCACTGTTTTAATATTGATGATTATCATTCAATTCATGAATGGAGAAGGCCTGATTCCATTTCATTATCTTCAGCAACACATATGGCAACATGTGTTTCTAAAAAAAATTGAAAATGTTTTAGCCATTCCTGCTAATTACAACAACATACCACTTTTTAATCCAAATAACATTGAGTCATCATCAATCATTTCCAGACTAACCAATGATTATAAAGGTCACTTTGATCTAAGTTATAATTATATTAAAAAGGAATGGATCCAAAATGAAATGATAAATGAAAATAATTTCAACCAATTGGAGGCTTTATCAGTGCACCTATATGGTGCAAATATTGAGGAAAAAAAAGAGGAAAGATCAATGAAAACAGTTAGAATTTTAGATATAAAAGAACAAAATCTTCGTTCTCTAAATGATTACCTCTCTGCAATTAAAATGATTACAAGTATCAGTTCATTGACAGAATATATTAAATTGAATGCTATACTGTGAGCGTGTAAATTCAATTACAGCTTGGGTTGTGTCCAATAAAAATATAAGATAAAATAAATAAAAAGTCCAATATATAAATCTCCCTATCTTCGCACACAGCTAAGGGTTCTCAAATTCCAAGGCCTCCATCTTCACACACAGCTAGGAGCCTTCCCAAAATACTCTAATGCGCAATTCTCTCTCTACAGTACTAATATGAAGTACTGCTGGCCTAAAAATGATAAATAAAATAAAAAAGAATATATACAAGAAATATTTACAACTATACCACTTGGGGCGTCCCTACAAGCAGCATAGAACAATCAAATGGGGGGTTTCTAACTAATGATTAGTGGCCAGCCACTAATCATCAGAGAGGACCATGGAACAATTCACAATGGCTTTTCCTATTAACTATGCAAAAATTCTTAATAAGGTAAAATGTGTTTATTTAATTATTAACAACGGGGGGGGGGGGGGAAAAAAGAAAAAAAAAAAAAAAAATTTATTTATTCAATTATTATTAATGTTATTGACACAATCTTCCTTCTCACTTGGTCTAAAACCAAGCCTTTTTATACCTCTTGAGGTATTACAAATAACATGACCTTTACAATATTTTGTCCA